TAAATCACGTTCTTGTATTCTATCAATACTTGAACGATTGTTCGATGCATAAATTTTATATTTTAACATTGTTTACTTAAAGAAATGATTAGGTGCAAAATATATGTTAGATTTAAGAAAGAATGGATTTTTGATACATTGCAATGCTTAAAGGAATCAATCAAATTTATGCATTTTGAAGAAGTAAAGCGGTTCTGTAATCTGAGGAGTAGACAATGAAAGGTGGCAAATTATTATTCTAACTACGATAATCTTGATCATAAAAGTGATTTGGTAAGTATTATCTATCATCAATGAATAACACGCATCATTATTGAGCTTCATCTTTTATATTAAAGTTGAAAATATATAACTCTTTTCCCTCTTGCTTTTGCAAAGGACGATTGTATGCAAAGAGGTAAAAAGCCATTTCAATACCACGCTATCTTCAGCGTTGAAGATGTGTGCAGTTCAGATTAAGAAAGGAATGAAGACTTTGAAGTCTCTATTGTTAAAAGTAGCAGGAAAGAGTGTGGTAGAGTGTTCCATCCGAGTTTCGGAAGAGGGTTGTCACCAGTAGTACCCTGGAGCTGTGCCTTTTATTACTATCTAATCTGAAACGTGGGTGCGGAATGTGGCACAAACTTAAATAAATAAAGCTTATAATAATAATCGAAAGTTGTAATTTTAAAAAGATATTTATAGAATTTTTTTATATTATTAGATTAATAACTTTAGTATTGTCCAAATGTTGTAAAATAAATTTTTCTATAACGTTAAGATAGAGAGAAAAAGAAAAGAAAATGGTAATCGTATATCTGTCAGTAGATTCAGTTTGAGATTCACAACAAGCCAATAAATAGTTGCGAAGTAGCTAACGAGAAATTCAGTCCGACAATTTTTTATCTTAACTTCTTAACCTACGCTTCACTTAGTGTCGGATTTATGAGAAACCGCATCGAAAAGCGTTAAGATCTTCTACGGGAGATCATAAAACGAGAGCGAAATATTTTTCATCTTTCATTAATTAGTGCTGAGCTGTTATGGAAATTGCTGTTGGAAGTGTCAAGAAACGGTGATTAAATTAACGCTTTAATTTTCTACCTGTGTGGATGGTCTAAAGATCGTTTTTCTCTTAGCTTTTCAGCAGTTACATATCACGGCGGGTAGGATACGTTTTCGTATCTTCAGCTTACACTTTTAACTGCTTTTGATGTCTACTACCAAAGAGATAGCTGCATAGGTTCTTTATTAACGCAGCAGCCAAATGTTTATAGCTCACGCAGCAGGATTTGTCATTTAATGGCAACCTCATAAAAAAGACCGTCCCTACAAGAATTAAGCGAACCATCTCGAATAGGATAAGAAAGCCACGAGCGGTTTACCCTTTTCTTAAAATAAAAAAATAATTCCGTTTTCAATTTCAAATATGTCTTTCTATATTTCTGATATTTTCACTAAAAAGGGGTTTAAATAATCTTACATTTTAAAGGATAAGAACTCTTTTAAGTCTCATAAACCTTAAGTATCTCAAAATAAACTAATCTCGCCAATATAATCACTTTTACGTTCTCTTCTAGATTTAAAAAAAAAAGATTCTGTTCGATGAGATGATTTATTATTTTAGTAACATCATATTTAGTATGTAAAATTACTAGGGGTTTTTTAATTTTCAATTTTCCTGTAGTTATAATATCAATTGGGACAATGATCAAAAAAACACCTCTAATATTCTAGAATAGAGATATATCCTTATCATCCAAAATAAAGTTTAACGAGTAGGGACTATGAAATTTTTTATGTGAATATTCTTAGCAATAGAATCAATTATACTTAAATTTAAACAATAAAAGACTTATTGTGTATGTTAGTCAGCAAGGTGTTAATTATACTAAATTTCAAACAAAGAAGTTTGTGTTTTAAGGTAATAAAATGTTGTAGCGAACACGATTTTGCCATTAAAATAGACACGTTTCCTACAGATTCTACTTTCTGCGTGCCCACTAACTCCATCGAGCCTTTAGCATAGGCCCATTAAATTGTTCTTTGTAGCGTGCTAAATCACTTTACATACGTCTCACGTGGTTGAACTATGTCGAACTAAATAGCCCATAGGCATTTTTTTTAATATCATCTATTTTGTTTTCGTATAAATGGGTTGGAAATTCTAAATGCCTTAATTGAAAAGTGTGCGGAAGAGACGTGACACTTAACTGCTTTAATGCGTGAAGGAATCCAGAATGTGGTAAAGTAGTTACCGACCACGTTCTTTAGCTATACTGTCAATGTAGCTGTGTCCTTTGAAATGTCACACTTCTCCAGCTGTCGTCATGTCTATATATATATATATATGTACACAGAGGCCGCTGTCCTATCTACTTGACAAAAATATTGTTGCTTTAAAATGCACCTTACATGTTCTAGTCGCTATAATGAATGCCTTTAGATAAATAAATAAAGGTTATATAACAGGTTACAAGAAAGTAATAAGTCCAATGTGTGTGCAAAATCTATATTTTAGCTTGAAGTTATCTTTACAGTGAGATGTTAAAATTTGTAAGCATAGTTGTTAATATTTTTATATCCTTGACTTTTGATCTCAATAAAATTTAGGACTATAATTATAACCGCATATATCCTATAATTATAATTGTAATACTTCTACAAAGATATACGTTGAGATATAGGCTGTTGTAATGAATCTATTAGGCCTACTGTAATCCTGGGTATTCAATGGGCTTTTTTAAAAAATATTAACCTGTTTATCGTTATATCTAGGCTAAACAATACAGAAATTTATGGTTAAATCATTAAAAACGTAATTTTGTGTAAGATACGAACTTTTAACTCTCATCATTAGCAGCTTCATTACTAATAAATAGAACAAAATACTTTACCTCGTTAATATGGTTACTCTAACTGAACAATTTAATTTAGAACAAACAAAATATTTACTTTATTAATAAATAACCTGTTTAATAAATGTAATTTTAAAATATATTTTTTTAAAATCTCAAATTTTTGCTTTACGGCTTACTATTTCTCCGCCTTATTTAATTATTTAAGTAGTCTAATTTACGAATAACAGAATTTTTTATATCAGATGCTTTTTGAGAATGTGTAGGCATAGAATTTTATTAGTTTTACACATCATTGAATTTTAAAGCGTTGCATAAT